TTAACCATCTTGATAACTTCCCCAAAACTCTTTGTGCACTCGGTGATGAGCAGAAGGAGTGATTCCACCAAAATCTGAAGGCCACAAAAGTACCATACCAAGATAGATGGGACATACATATGATGGCTGACTACTGTTGGAGCATCAAGTGAGAAATGTCCGCAGATTAAATATTCCAGAAAAAGCCAGAAGTGAAAATTTTTACCTTAATATGTACATTTACCATTTGGTAAAAAGACTTTACTATTTGTATGAACAAAATTTAACTTGCAGAACTACATATAGCCTTTGTATGAATAAAACTTTTTTTTGTGAACAGTATATTTCAGATGTTTTCCCTGCAATTTCCTTTATATGCATATTATGTATGACTTTGGGAAAAAAGCGAGGGCATTCTATAGCTTAAAAAGTTAATGTGATAGACAAGAACTGAGGTTATTTTGGATTCAGAGGTGAAAAGTTAGTCAAAAGTGACAGGTTGAAGACCACAAAACGTTTGCTCCCCAGTGTAATCACATCTTTTTGAAAGAATGGTAACATTCCAGTATGACATCCCTTACTAATGCAAATAATGCATTTTAAAGACTGGATAAATCCTGCATTATGTAAGCCACCTGAACCATTTTATAGCTTTAGAATATTGGAACAAGGTAATTGCATGGTAGCACTGAATTGTGACATATTGATGCTTGTGTGTTACATAATGATATTTATGAATTATTTTTTATTACACTAGTGTCTTCCACAATCAGCCACCTAAAATAGTAATTATAAAAGAATTCGCTAAAAATGCCATAAAATTTCTTCATACCTTTAAGAATACTACCCTATGGAATCTGATTAAAATAATAGATCAACATTCTCAATGTTCACAAATAGTTAAAGATCTGATTATTGACTTTTGCAATTTTAAACTAAAGAATAGTAATTTTTTTCACAAAAAACTTTTTTTGTACTACACAGTTCAAGCACCCTTATTGCGATCAACTAAAAATAACAAGCATTTTTAAAAAATATCAACACTTGCTCCCTGACCAACGACTTCAAATTAAGCCCTGTTTTAAATTTGAAAAGACCTTAGGTCAACTAGTTATCAACCACCACGTAGTACAAGAAAATAGCATATGTAATTGCCTACTGCCTATTTACAATAAATGTCGATCCTTTCCACCAACATGTTATTACTGGAGATCTCATATCATTGAAGACTTAGAATTGCGAGCCCTTATGCAACTGGCACCAAATTTCATCCTACTTTCAGTATTAATAAGCACTTTTTGCCTCAAAACATTCAATAATGATCTTGATAAATTTATCATATTAGTTAGTAATAAATCCAATTTACCTACTACTACTTTTTACTGTGCTAATTAAAGAATTTCAACATTTACTTTTCAAGTCGCCCTGTTTTAACTCTTTGCACAGTAAAAAGCAACAAGATAATCTTATTCAAAAACTGCAAGATAACTTTATCATCACGAAAATTGACAAAGCCAGCAACAATTTTAGTGTTATTTGAAAAAAGTTTTACTTCAACCTTCTGAATAATGAATTAAATAACAATTGCACTTACCAAAAAATTATTACCAGCACTAAAATTCTTCTCAATAAATTTAACGCACTACATTGAAGAAGACTAAAAATACATCCCCGGAAATATAATAACAGATTTGCCAAATCTCTGTGCACTACCAAAATTTCATAAGTCTCCTATTAAATTCAGGCTTATTAGCCAATAGTACCAAAACTTATCTTAAAGAAATAGATTATCTTTTTGCACAAAATCTTCGCCTTAATGCGTGACCTTCATTAATAACTATGATTTTAAGGATCTATACATTGCAACTGATGATTCTGATTTCAAGTAACGAGCTAGTTCTAAAAACTATAAATTCACTTAAAATAGACCATATCCAATGCTTCGACTTTCAAAACCTTTATACTACTTTACCACTTGAAGAAATATATACAAGCTTACTGGCTCTACCGGATTTATTTCCGCAAATCTCTACAATAATAAGTACCGAAAAATGGCAACTTTTTCTCTCATGCGTGCTTTTCAATAATTTTATTCAATTTAACAATAGCATCTTTGTACAAATACAAAGAATTCCAATGGGAGGTAATTTTTTCAAGTTCTGTCTGTGAATTATTCCTTTTTACAAAAGAATTGACCTTTGTCCGTTCACTCAATAAAGAACAACATAAATTTTACCAACACATCTATCGATATATTGATGTCATTGCCTTTAACAACTACAACAAAATAGAAGTTGCTGATATCTACCCTATTTGCTTAAAACTAAATAATACAAATACGGTGCAAAATAATGCAGTCTACCTTGACTTACATATTATTGATCACAACTTTATAAAAGTTTACGACAAAAGAAGAGAATTCAATTTCTCAACACAAAATTAACCAACTGGAATTCAAATATTTCTAAAAGAGTCATCCTAAACACAATTTATTCACAGCTACTTAGAAAAAAAAAAAGAATCTGCAATACAACAAAACACCTTCAAGATGAAATACTATACTTCGTGACAATTTTGAAAAATAACCTAATTCCTCAAAAAATAATTAAAAATACCTTAAAAAAAGCTGGCATTAGCCTTACCAATTTTTAGATTATAGTGATATTTTATGCTTAAAGCGCAATGGGACGGTATAAAGTGGATGGCTGATTCTGAGAATCTAATGTAAAAACGTACAGATAATCTTGTCACTACGTGTTCTTTTCTCCAAAAAATTTTCGCACAATACTTTTAATACTATTGTTTAAATAGTTTTAAATTACTTTGATGGCCAATTCTACTACTTTTATTAACAAATCGGGCCTTTTCGCTTTTCATTGTAGCTTAATCGCCCTCTAGCTTGAAGAATTACGACTTTTATTAACAAGTGACTGTTTTTTAGATTTTACTCTTACTTTTGTGCCCATGTTAAGTAATTTTAGCTGAATTAGCCATTTTCACTTTTAGAAACAGTTTTATTCTTCAAACAACTTGACTGACGCCATTTTGAAATCTTTCCACGTCTTTTCAAGTCTTTCACCCCCTTTTTTAGCTCTGGGGGACGAGTTCTGCCAACAGACAGTCTTATCACATTGGCTGTTGCCCAGTGACATTGTTTCCCCCGCCTTACGTCACACGACGAGTGGGATCGTGTTGAAGGACACAGAGGGGAATTACAACCCCTTTTCAGCTTTGCTTCACGATGAAAGGACAGCATAGCCACAGGTCTGTTTTTTATGTTTCTTTTATGAAAAAATTTTTCTTGGTCTTAGCAAGACCCACTGTGTTTGTTTCATTTAAATTTAATTTCAGATTTCTAAAATTTATAAAAGTTTAATGCTTTAAGCTTGCAGGTCCAGCCCGTACATAATTGTATAATTTGACTAATAACAGACCACTATTTATTTTAATTTTATTTTATTTTAATTATTGCTGTACAGAGTTGCATTTGCATTTTTTACACCTTAATGTGTCGTTTTGTGCGGACGCGTCAAGAAATTGGAACAGAGAATTGAGACTTAAAAAAAAAAAAAAAAAACCCCCCGACAATTCAATTAATTATAAAAAATTTCCGTAACACAAAACTTTCAATTGTCTGTTTCGGCGAAACGCATAATTGAGTTAGCTTGGTTCGACGTTTAACTAGAAATTTCCCTTGAAAAGCCAGGTTGGAAGTCAAATTGAGCTAATTTACCATTTTCCGCTTTATAATTTTTATAATTTGTTATGTTTTCTATGTTTTTTCATATGTTTTTATTAGTTTTATTAGTTTTAACTTGTTCCATCGATCGGTTTTTTATATGTTTTAACTTTTCACCCATCACATCGATGGGTATTTTGCTGTGTTTTATAATATACATTTTATTTCGCGTGTAGCCTTATTTTTCACCCTACAAAGTCATTGTTTTTTTAAAAAATACTATGTTGTACTTTTTCTTGGAGCCACAGCTCCTGGTAACTTTTTGGCGAGCTAACTACAATTTATCTTCTTCTCATTTCCTTAATTTTGCAGCATATTGCGCAAAACTTTTTTAGACCAAATAGGTCTTTTTTATATAGTAATTACTACCTAGCTTTTTAAATGATTTTAATCAGTCCAGACAGCATAATTTTATAAAAATATTTACTGTTTTAAATTAGCTATACCATGAATTTTTATTTATATCAGTTGGATTAAAAAGTAATATATACAAAAAAGAAAGAGAAAGCGAAAACTGCTTTTAGTACTCTTTAATCAGTTTACTAATCAATAACATTAAGATTTAAATTTAAAAGTTAAATTTATTACGCTTTACCAAATGGCAATATGCTGGCATGTGGATGATAAAAATATTTTATTTTCAGTAGAGGCAATACATTTCTTTCAAATAGCCGAGCTTGTTTTTTTAATTTGAAAGATATGTTACATTTTGCTAAATGGCAACATACTGGTGTGCCCAAAAAAAAAATGTTTCATTTAGAGTAGTATTACTATTACTTCCTTTTAACTGTTGAGTTTGTAAATTAAAAATTCATATAAAATATGAAATAAATAAAAAAACAAACCCAAAATTCAAAATTCAGGCTTCGAGGTTTACACGCTCAGGTGAAATATGGTGTTCTCAAAATTTGGTGAATGTAGATAATGCCATTTTTCCATAGTGCACGGAACATACATACATACAGATTCTTCATTATTTAATAACATAGATAATGATATTTAGAAAACATAAGAATCCTGTTAGAATGCAGTGGGATAACTAACTACACCTAAAAATTACTTCTTTCATTTTGACAGTGGCATATGCTTTAAATAGAATTTTTAAGGTTACAGCTGATACCTTTCAATTTAATTTGTGACATAACAAATGCCATAAAAATGTGAAAGTTTATCTATCAGTGATACAAACAATACAGAAATGTATTTTCTGTAACATTTAAATAATATTATATTAGTGTTATATATTGGGATAAGCAATAACTAAAAGCATCAAAATACTTGCCTGAGTAGCCCTATCCATCATGAGGCGGCCACAATAACTGAGATAAAGTGCATCTCTTTGCCATTGTCCTAAGAGATATATTGTATCTACTGATGCTGTCCTCCTGATAAAAGGCGCAGAGCTCACAGTCTTCGTCAAAGTTTTCGATTTTTCACCTGAGAAAATAGCAGTACTATTTAGTTTATAAACATTCATTAAGTAAGGAACAAATAATATCAGTATAAAACACAAGATTTAATAAAACTTTTTCACCATTAAAAAATAATTTTAAAATCTTTAAAATATTCTGTGTCCAAATTTATTAATTACATTTACAAGAAATCTTTCCTATTGTACAGTTGTACTGTTTCCTAATATAGTTGTCCCATTAATAAATGATATGTTAAAGATGGTGTTTTAGCAGAAGTTTTGTCAAATCACTGGTTGATTGGAAAATTTTTTTCAGGATCTTCAGCTAGAAAATAAAAATAAAATTTTAAAAAAAATATCTGAAAAGTTTCAGATTTTGATGGTCGCCCAAAAAGATTTGTTAAGTTTTTTATGGCCTTGCTGAGCTCGCAGTCTGCCAGTTTGATACTGTATTCACTCCTGCGAACCTTCTTTTGTCTTTTATACTAAGCATAATTTGTCTTTTATACTAAGCATTATTTAAGCATAATTTTAAAAAGCTTTAATACTAAGCATAATTTTCTTCACACTTACACCATACAACTCAACAGCAAAATCACATTTTTTTTAATTACGAAAATGTTTAGAATTCCCGATGAGTGTTAAATTTTGGCATACATTGTTCCATTTTTGTCGTTCTTAGTCTTTTCTTAGTTCATGATGTCAATGTTCAGTTTTCTTAGTAAGATGATTTACAAAACTCTTTTTTTTTTTTTTTTTTTTTTTTTTTTTGTGTGTGTGTGGTGTGTGTGTGTGTGTGTGTGTCTTTTTATTATAAATGTTGTGTTAATTTTGTTTATTAAATAACATGTTCTTGGCAATTATGACACATAAAATTCAATATTTAAAAAGAGTTTATTTTTAGAATTTCCAGCAGTCTTGTGCCCTGGAAATAAAACTGTTTATTCTGTGCAGTGTTGCCACTAATAGCTTTCAAATTCACTAAGTTTGTTAATGAAAAATTTATCAAAATTTTACAAAATATGAAATATTCAAAGGTTTCTGTTATATATGTAACTGTAACTGTATCTATTATTATCTTTAATCGTAACTGTAATATAGAATAGTAGATGAGTAATGTAGAATAAACGATGTTTGTGTACATCTTGTAATCATCACTGAGCACGTATACCCAACACATATAAAATACAACACATGGCGCAGCCCGTCGTTGTTTTAAAAAAGAAAATCTTTTTGAAGAACCATGCAGCCTCGGTAAAGATGTTCTAAACAAAAACATCATGGAAGTTGTTTACTGTAAAATCGAAACTTATATCCTGGTAAGTGAGTTGTTTATTTTATTGGAAGTGGCTAAAAATACGTATATATAAACTATTTAAAGTCCTAAATTAAATATGGATGGATTAAAGCCACCAAGTAATCTAAGTTTCGAAGGAAATTTAGCGAAAATTGGAAGAAATGGAAACAAAAATTCCAAATTTATATGTTAGCGTCTGGTGGTATTATAAATCACCTGAAATTAAGTAGCTATTTTATTGCAATAATTGGTGAAGAAGCACTTAAAAAATTTAATACTTTTAATTTAAGTCAAGAGATAAGAAGGATGTTTGACAAAGTAATTAACTTCTGAATTAGCAGAACTTCAGCTGAAAATTTAACTGAAGAAAATAAAATAGAAGCTATCAAACGTAATAAATTTCGACCTTCAGAGAAAAAAAGTCAGCTTTGTAAGAAAGACTTTCATGTAAAACAAAAGCAACAAAGTACTAAATCTTCTTTAAACTATCAAGGAAATAAGTACAATAATCCAAAACCATGTAGAAAATGTGGAACTTTTCATAAGTTATACAACTGTCCGCTTATAATAAGATTCGCTTGTCTGTAAAAAGAAAAAATCACTTTTCTAAAATGTGCACTTTAAAAAATGTTAATGTTGTACAGAATAATTTAGAGCATGAGTTACATAATAATGTAATGAATATTATTTTAGGGTCAGTAGAAGATTACAAATCCATTTTCTAAAAATAAAACAGAATGGTTTGAAAAACTAAAAGTAAACATATCTAATATTTATTTGTTAAGTTGGATACTGGAGCTCAGTGTAATGTGCTACCATTGCCTAAATTTAAACAATTAAATTTAAGAGATAAATGTTTGACTAAATCAAAAGTCACTTTAATAATTACAATAGTACTACAATGATGTAGTTGGAAATGTAAATTATTATGTGAAACATCGAAAGGGGACAAGGATGAAATAGAATTTCAAGTCGTAGCATGTGATAAAACTGTTCCAGCTATTTTAGGTTACCTACTTTGCAAAAATTAAACCTAATACAAAGGATTTGTACAGTAAATCCTGATTCTAATGAAATGTACCAGAACTTTTAAAAGGATATCAAGATTTGTTTAAAGGAACTGGGAATTTAACTGGATATACATATCATATTAAATTAAAACCAGGAGCTGTTGGTAAAATAGAACCCTGTAGGAAAATTCCACTTATTTATAAATCCATTAAAAAAGGAATTAGCAAGAATGGAAAAAGATGGTATTATAAAGAAAGTTAACCAACCAAACAGAATTCGTGAATTCATTAGTGGTAGTAAGGAAAAGGATGGTAATTTAAGAGTGTGTTTAGATCCTCAGCACATTAACCAAAATATACTGAGAGAATATTATCACATACCAACCTTTGAAGAAATTTCATCTCAAATGACAAATGCGAAGGTGTTTAGTATTTTAGATGCAAACAAAGTATTTTGGCAAATTAAACTGTCAGATTCAAGTTGTGAATTTACTACATTTAATACTCCATTTGGTAGATATTGTTTCTTAAGGTTGCCATATGGACTGTTCATCACCAGAAGTTTTCCACAGAAGTTTTTCTGAAATTTTTAGTGATTTAGAAGGAGTTCAAATATATAGATGACTTATTAGTTTGGGGGTAAAGATAAAAAAGAACATGATTTAAGATTAAAGAAGTTGTTGGACAGAGCCAGAGAAAAGAATGTTAAATTTAATTTAAATAAATGTAAATTTGGGCTGAATGAAGTGAAAATATGGGACATATATTTGTAAAGATGTTTTAAAACCGATGAAGACAAAATTAAGGCTATATTCTAGATAAAAACCACCAAAAAATGTGAAAGAATTAGAAAACTTTCCTAGGAATGATTACATATGTTTCTAGATTATATCTAATGTATCAGAAATTAACATCATGTTTTAAGAGATTTGTTGAAAAAAAACAAGTTATTTGGAACTGGAATGCAACACATGAAAAAGCATTTAGAAGACTAAAAGATGTCTTGGTAAATAAACCAGTTTTACAGTATTATGATATAAACATGCCAGTAGTTTTATCTGTAGATGCATCTCAAGAAGGACTAGGAGCAGTCTTACTGCAGAATAATTTACAGTGGCATATGCATCTAAGGCATTAACAGATACACAGAAGAATTATGCTCAAATTGAAAAGGAAACTTTAGCTATTGTATTTGCGTGTGAGAAATTTCACCAGTATATTTGGAAAAAATATTACTGTGGAAAGTGATCATAACCACTGGAATCAATTTTAAAAAGCCATTAAATAAATGCCCTGTAAGACTACAAAGAATGCGTATAAGATACAGCCATAACATTTGAGATAAAATATAAACAAGAAAAGAACTTTTTATAGCGGATGCATTATCAAGATCATTCACTGATAAAGGATTGATTTCTTTGAAGGAGAAATAGAAGCTCATGTTGGATTAGTTGTAGAATGTATACTAGTGTCTAATGGTAAAATGGAAGTTTTTTCAACTGGAAACAGGAAAAGATGAAGAACTACAAGTTTTAAAAAAATTAATTAAAAATGGATGGCCAGATGAAAAAGTATGGTTCCAGAAACTGGCAAACCATATTTTAAATTCAGAGAAGAGAACTATCAGAAGCAAATGATTAATTTTAAAAATTCCTGTGGTTGTACCAAGAAGTTACGAAAAGATGTTAAGCAGAATTCATTATGGTCAGTTAGGAGTATGTAAAATGCAAGATCAAAGCAAGAGAAATATTATATTGGCCAGGAAAATGTCCAAAGAAATTGAAGATTTGGTACTGAATTGTCAAAACATGTTTAAGTTTACAAAAAGCTAATACTAAAGAACCAATGATATCTAAAAGAAATACCTAATGGTCCATGGGGGAAGTATTGGGACAGACCATCTTTTACTTTCAAAGAAGGGATTATCTAATAGTTATAGATTATTTTTAGCAAATATGTTGAAATTGGACATTTGGAAGATTTGTCAAGTGTAGCACTGATAAAGCAATTGAAATCAATTTTTGCAAGACATGGTTATTCTGAAAATAGTATATTCGGATAATGGTCCACAATATAATTGTAGGAAATATAAAGATTTTGCAAGAAGATGGAATTTTGAAACCAGAACTTCAAGTCCAAAATACCACACCTAATGGAATGGTTGAAAGACATATCAAACTGTTCAAGCGATGTTAGAAAAAGCTTGTAGTGACAACAAGGATCCATATTTAGTTTACTGGAATATCGAAATCTCCTATTTCAGATGAAAATTAAGTCACCTTCAGAATTGATGTTTTGGAAGAAAAGTAAATGGATTGATGCCTATAAAAGAGAATTTGTCCAAGCTAACGATATGAAGACCATAAACAACACTTACTGAAGAGACAAACCTTACAAAAAAAGTTATTATGATAGGAATGCAAGACCATTAAACCACTGAAAACAGGAGATCATGTTTACATAAAAGAGAAAGGGAAAAAAAACTAAATGAAAGAGGGAAAATTATAGAAGAAGCAGAAAGACACCAACGTTCATATAGGATTTAAGAACAGATGGAAGAATTGTAGAAAGAACAGAAGAGACCTTCTTAAAGGAACTAATCAGGAAGAGTTTGTGCAATACAAAACAACTATGAGAATGAAGTTATAGATGAACCCGAGATACATGAAATAGTAGGAGCACTACAAATTTAGATGTGCCTGTAAGTCCTTCAAAATCT